TCTCTCTCTCTCTCTCTCTCTCTCTCTCTCTCTCTCTTGCCATTGATTTCAACCCCCTTTTCCGATATAAATAATGTTCGTGCACGTGAAAGAGAGAAAAAAAAATGAGATAAAAACTGTTTCCTCACTCTTAGCGATTCAAAACTGATATCGTGGTATTCGATAGAGAAATTCCATTTTTTCTGCAGTTCTTCGCAAACGTGCTCTTTATGGGAACTTGAGGAAAAGTTAAGGTCGGCCCGAGTACCGTGACGTAAAATGTTTGTGATGCAATGCGTATTATGTAAACGTTGAAAGAACAATATTCTTTCTATCAGTATTTTTTAGTACGACAACTAATATTTTATCAATGATTACCAATATTTTAATTAAAACTTCTCCCATAGAATTTTTTCCTTGTATTTGTGGCATCTAACTTTTCCATTCGAAATCTAACAATGAGATATCTAATTAAGAAAATAAATTTATTAAATGAAAATTTCTTATTAAAAATCCGATCTTGTTGTATTATAATATTAGAATTGATGTAATATTTAAGAATGGATGATCTCGGATTAAAAAGCGATTTCATAAATTAAGATTGCCCAATGTGATAGAAAATGTTTAAAAATAATTTTAATCGAGCGATCGGTCGGCTGAACAATTGAAGGACGGTGACAACGTCACAACATTCCGATCTCCGTTTCCGACAGATAATGGCTTTGAGAATGTCGCGTCGCGACGCACGACTTTTTCATAAACGCCTGTAAAGTTCGTTCTTAATCCAATGCAACGTTATCGCGGTGACAATGAAAGTGAATCGTCGTTGTCAACCGGCATTTCCGCAGTCCATTCCGTTGTCCCATTCCATTCGGTTTCATTCTTCTTGTAGATAAATCAATTTCAGAACATAAAAGTAGGTTACTCGACTTGCGCCTGTACGCGAAGACAATGCTTTTTACAGATCACTCACTGGCAGCACCCGAGATTCCACGCCTACTTTCCGTCCGGCAACTCGTTTCCCTCGATCCTGGGTGACCTGTTGTCGGACGCGATCGGCTGCATCGGCTTTTCGTGGGCAGCCAGCCCGGCTTGCACCGAGCTTGAGACCATTGTGTTAGACTGGTATGCTAAGGCAATCGACCTGCCGGTCGAGTTCCTGTCGGAGCAGAAGAGCGGCGGCGGTGTGATCCAGGGGTCAGCCTCCGAGTGCATCCTGGTGACAATGCTGGCCGCGCGAACGCAGGCGATCAAGATGTTGAAGGAACAGGAACCCAATAAGGAGGATTCGGCATTCCTGCCGAGATTGGTGGCCTACTGCTCCACAGAATCGCACTCGTGCGTGGAGAAGGCGGCGATGATCAGCCTGGTGAAGCTTCGTGTGCTCGAGCCGGATGATAAGGCCGCGTTACGTGGCAAACGGCTCGAATCCGCCATCAAAGAAGACGTGGCGAATGGTTTAGTGCCGTTCTACGTGTCCGCAACTCTTGGTACCACCGGCTCCTGCGCCTTTGACAATCTCGTAGAGATTGGGCCGGTGTGTAAGTTGTACCCTAACGTCTGGCTACACGTGGACGGCGCTTACGCCGGTAACGCCTTCATTTGCCCAGAGATGAGACCGTTTATGGCCGGCATCGAACACGCCGATTCCTTCAACACGAATCCCAACAAGTGGTTGCTGGTAAACTTCGATTGCTCCTGCCTGTGGGTGCGTAATCGTGTAAAGCTCACGTCAGCGTTGATCGTCGATCCGCTCTATCTTCAACACGCTCGCTCGGGCGAGTCGATCGACTATCGTCATTGGGGTATCCCGCTCAGCAGGCGATTTCGAGCATTGAAGCTCTGGTTCGTTATGAGATCGTACGGCATCAGCGGCTTGCAGAAGTACATTAGGAATCATATAAGACTGGCCAAGAGATTTGAGACGCACATGAAAAAGGACAGGCGTTTTGAGATCTTGAACGATGTGCGAGTCGGTTTGGTGTGCTTTCGATTAAAGGAGAGTGAGGAGATGAATCAGGAGCTGCTGGCTAACATTAATGCGTCTGGTCGGCTACATATGATACCAGCTCGAGTGATGGGCAAGTATATCTTGCGTTTCTGTGTGACGAAGGAGGATGCTACCGAGGAGGACATCGATTACGCTCTCAGCGTGATCGAGGAACACGCCACGGAAGTGATGCTAGCTCACTACGAGGGTACGGAGGATGAGTACAGGGCGAAGGGTCCGAAGAGTCCAGCCGCTCTCGACAAGAAACTCGTCCGGAAATTCAGTTTTACCAGGAGCGTTACCAGGGATGTTTATAAGAGGTCCATCTCCAAATCCAGCCTGCACGACGGTGCAACGCCCATTATGGTCGTCGACGACAACTCGCAGGTTGACGCCATCGACGATGATCGTTTTTGCAACAGCAGGTAGATCTTTTTGAGTCCATGGCTGAATCTAAAGTTCTTATTTTCTTAAGATTGATATTGAAAACATATTTTCAATTTTAAATCCGTTTTCCACTTATTTTGTTTTCACTTTATTAAATAATATTATCTACATTTTTATTTAAAGCATGATAAAATATAAAATTTTCTTTCTCGAATTAAAAAGTTCCAATATGTTTGGATTAGTTAGTTTTGCTATTATAATCATGATGATAATTATCGACAGATTATCGTTTTCAGGTCGTGACGATGTCGATGACGGTCCCCGGCGCCGACTCGGGACGACGTAGATGAGAATAAAAAGGGTCCTCGCTACACGGCTGTGTGATGCGGAACTCTGACGGTCCACCGTCGTCAATTTACTGAATCCCGAAGTCGCGTTTGTTGATAAGGACCGACTAATACTGATTACGTCGCCACGTAAGTGTTTAGTCAAGTGTTTATTCGTCCTCGATGCCAGAACAATTCGATTATGGACGATGACGATCGATCGTATATTATCTTGAGCACGAGTGATCCTTCGTGGCGACAAATTGCGTCTATGGCACATGAAATACTGAACCAAATTTTGTGACAAAGCATGAGATTATTCTTAAGCACATTTTAGACAGTTTGTAATTCGTGACAGAATTCGGCTTAAACAATTTAATTACAAACGCACGATAATTATAGTCCAAAAATATTCGATTAGCTTTTTTTAGTAATAAGCTTTTTTATTATAATAAGCTTTTTTTATTATAATAAGCTTTTTTTATTATAATCAAGATTTTATAATGATAAAGATTTTTATTAAAATTATAGAATTTTGCCGCACATAGAAATTCTGTCTCGAGTTATGGATAGTCTAAAGTGGGTTTTAGAGGCGGCTGCGCGTATTAACGTGGTCGTTTGATCTATTTTGGTATATACATATATGTCTGTATAAGCGAGAAAGAAAAAGAAAGATGAATCGATGTACATATGTAATACATGATAATGACTGCCGATGTACGCATGGACTGTAATAGTTTTGTATAAAAAAAAATTAATGAGTAATTAAAGTGTATCGATCTCAATAAATTTATAAGTGAAGTGATGACGAATAATTATACTGGTCCCAATGTACATCAGGTGTATTAGAATTTCATTTTTTTCGATGATACTACAACTGACTGAGAAGAGAGATGCATCAATGTTGATACATCAATTATCTTACATGTAGAATATACTTGAGTTTGAATGAATTATTAATTATAATCAAACTTTTGATTTTGATCTCAATTAGACAAGAATTAATCAAACACACACAATGGCAACATCATATTTAATATAGTGTCATTATCGATTATAAAAATTCGCGTTATAATAAATATAATTGGATTCAATATACGGATCCAATAATCTATAAAAAAAATATCAAAAATTATAAATCTATAATCGAAACTGTCTACAATAGTTTTGGTACACAATATAGTAAAGTAAAACTGTACTAGAATTATACAGACACATTGATATAGTGAACGTCATTAATTCGTGTAACTAATTGAATGATTTTATGATTAATGTCGCATCGATCAATAAAAATAGATTTTAATTTAGTTATAGATCAACTTTAAGATAAGAAAATTATAAAAGGTTTGAAAAACAAACGTTTACAAACTAAAGATTTACAGATTTAGACTGATAAATTTAGTTTAGGTCGATGCTAATACGCGAGTATATCGATGTACGTGTACATTTGTCTCTCCGCTGATTTATTCCGATTCGTAAAAATCAATTCCAGTATGTACAAAGGTAATACTGGAGAATCAATTGATTACTCTATTCATGAACATGATAAGTAGTACGATTATGAAGTGTTTATTTCATATGTACAGAAATGTTATAATAAAATTCAGTTCGTAAAATTGTTGTATTTTCTTTCATCCACCTAATCTTGTTTACTTTTGAATAAAGGCGTTCATAGAAAAAATTTTTTTAATAATCAAGTATTTTAGAAACTTAAATTGTTCCAAACGATTGATACTTTGCTTTATATAAGGCTGTCTATAATTTTATTTGTTGTGTATTTAGATATGTATATTTTAATATATATTTATGTATTTTGTATTTTTTTTCAAATATTTTTTTTTATTAAATAATGTATGAAATTATAAATAGAATTTTATCTTAAATCCTAATAAAGATTATAAATCATCCAAACAACTTTATTATACTATGCTTATAAATTCATATATTAAACATAAGTCTAAAAATTTTTTAAATTTAGAAATAAAATATTATTGAATTTAATTTTTTAATTGATTATATAATTATACTTGTTTTTTTCTCTTTCTTAATATTCCTTTTTTAATAAAAGCAGTCTAGAAAATTTAATATAAAATAATATAATTAGTATATAATAAAATTTATGTAAATCAATGATATATGAAAATGAAATATGAAAATGTGAAAAAGCATAATACATAATTTTACAGATAGACTGCCAAATGTTTGCAAATTTCAATAATAATAGCATACATACGTAACATAAAATTTGTATCAAATTAAACATTAAAAAATTATAAATTAAATATATAAAAATACCATATATAGAATATTATCTTATTTTTACACAGTTCCAGGAACAGCAATTTATGTATATTACAAAGCTTATACTTTCATTGTATTATATTAAAAAAAGTATAGATGTAGATACATATCATAATCTTATATAATCATCACTTCATAGATTTAAATAAACATTATTGTTGTTACATCTGTCCACATTGAGATATTGTCACAGGGATCTTTGGCTTATTGTTCGGTCCAGTAGGAACATTTTCCACTTTCCTCATGACAAGGAGACCATCGATAACTCTACCAAAGACAACATGTTTGCCGTCCAAAAAATTACACTTTGCGCATGTAATAAAGAACTGACATCCATTGGTGTCTTTGCCACTGTTCGCCATGGACAATAGACCAGGAGAGTCATGTTTCAACGTAAAGTTCTCATCTGGGAACGTTCCACCACTATAAATACTCAGCACCCCAGTGCCGTCACCATTAACGAAATCGCCTCCTTGTATCATGAAATCCTTGATCACTCTGTGGAAGATAGCACCTTTGAATCCCAATGGAACGCCATCCTTCCTGTATTCTCCAGTGCAAAACTGTCGGAAGTTTTCCGATGTCTTCGGACAAACATCCTCGAACAGCTCGAAGATCATGCGACCTATTTCTGTGGTGCCTACCGATACGTCGAAAAACACGACCGGATTATTAGGGTTCCGTAACTGCGCCTGAATCTGATTCCAAGTAGGCATGTTTGCTCACGGCGGTGTTTATTGTAAAAATTTATTACAGAATCCTCAAAAAATTATAGACAGATGCGTCAGGAGAAATATTCTTCTCAATCTGTACAGCATCAACGTAAACGCTCACAACCTCATTGAAGAATATAATATGCTTATAGGTTAGGTTTCTTCCGGAATGGATTAGCGTATAATATATGCAGAATGATCTGCAACTGGAGTTTCAACGTAATGTTGGTTTACAAATAAACTTCGTTAGCAGGAAACGTGATGTTGCAAATTTGTAATTTTGCAAATTTTCCATGTAAAGACGATTTTCAGCGATTCTCGAGTATTGCGAGAGCGGCAATACAAAATGACAAGAAGAGGTTAATTACCGCCTCCCACGACGCGGTGTTTTTCTCAATGATCAATTCAATTACTCGCCGCGTAACACAATGACTAGCGTTATGATAAAACAATTAATAAGATAAAGGAGGTAAACAGACGTGTCACTGCTCAATGTACGGTACGAAATGTGCGAAACATGTGTCACAGGGGTGCTCAACTCGAGCGACTTACCTTGTACGATGTGAAAAGCGACGAATCTTAAAAATTACACGTTGCCTCTCTTCCTCGGAGTGTCTTGGAGATATCCTCGTGGTTTCTTGGAACGACAAACACTCGTTAAGAAACTTGAAATTGACAAACAATGTGATCGCTATCGCGGAATTCACGCGCATTTATGCATTCGTTAGATTTGTTTTTTGTTCCTGGACCGCACTGGACTGCATTGGACTGCACTAGAACTTTCTATCTCGTTTTTTATCAAACTTCAAATATACGTCTGTTTCACTTTAAGTATAATAAGTGTACACTAATTCAGCTACAAAAACAGATTAGTGTTCCTTGCCGCCGTCGAGTCATGTGACCAAGCGCGCGCAATTTTTATTTTTCACGATGTATTGCGATATCTTTTCGAAATTATGAAAGATTTCTCTTTTAATCCGTGTTTTATATAGATTCTATTTTCGCATCACATAAATGCGTTTCTCTTTGTGATTTATTTAAATAATTTTAAAAAACAATATATGTGTAATAAAGTCGACCAATTGCGTGCTCAATGCGTAGGAGAACAATACGACAATACGGCATTCCTTGCACTCGATTTGTGATTGGTTGATTTCTTTAAGAACGAGGATAAAAAAATGATTTCTTTAAGAAACGAGGATAAAAATCATGAAAAATAATTATAGGAATAATTGTTTATTTGAAATAAAAATATTATTTTTTATATGAGATAATAAAATTAAATATTATTTGTAAATATATATATATAATGTGCAAATGAAAATAAATAGTTTTTAATATACATTATTTATGTTTTTTCTATTACCTCTAATTACGTGATACGTATAGTAGCAATAAATAAAATTATAAATAGTGTATGAATAAATAAAAAATTACTTATAAAAATAAAGTATTTGTTTATTATAACAAATAAATACAAGAAATTCATTTTTTATTTTCAACGTAAAACATGTATTTTCATTGTTCCTGGCAATGTTCGCAACATTTTATTTATAATCTAAAAAAATACTAAAAAGCGTAATAATTAACAAAAGTTCTGAAAATATCTTTCAATTTAATAAATATATTATAATACACGGACGAGCGCTCATGCTAGGTGTGTGTGTGTGTGTGTGTGCGTGGTGGGGGGGGGTGTGGTGTGTGGTGTGTATGGTGTGTGGGCTAGTCTATCCCTTCCACTCCCTTTGACTCTCTTGTGATTCTCGTCTTGAAATTCCCATCACTGTGCTGCTCGCCCAGGAGCTCGAAAAGTCGCCCTGATAGTAGGAAAGCATGTTGAGCAAGGAGGTTATAGAAAGTATTCAGTGATCCCGCCACAAGTCTATCCCCACTATTACAATTCTCGCTATTGGCTGGACCAGCTGTCCAATGAGAGCGTTGCGAAGAGAAGAATAGGTTCCTACCCAGCAGACACGTATTGACCAATCATAGTGTCAGTAGGAAGAGGCAATGTGGGGGAACAACACACCTCTGGTCATGGTACCTTGAACAACCTACTCGGTCATCGTGCGCTCCTAATATTTAAACCGATTTTTCGGACATTTCTGACGACGAGGAACTCAATTCTAGTCTATTTTATTGTCCGAATTTAGACTTCAATTAGCTTTTATTAACTTTTATAATCTTTTATGTGTTAATATAATACAATAAAATAAATACAATATAATACAATAAAGAAAATATATTATTTATTTAATAAATATTATATATTTATGTATTAATTACATCCGTTTAAATAATTTGCGTATGTGTACATGCATCATTGTATTCAATATTAAAAAAATACGAAGTTTAAATTGAATATGTTATTAATTATGGCAATTGAATCAATTTACAATTTGAATTAATTGAATCTAATTAACAAAAATTATAAAAATATCATTTGTCAAAGAATAGAATAGATAAACTCTTTCAAACATTGTCAAAAGAGAGAAATATCAAGGAAATTAAATTGCTTTTAAAGATGGCGTACATCCAACGTGCACACTCATTAATTTAAATTAAACTAATGAACAGACCTGTGATCTTCAGATCTATTTTTGACTTTTATCGTCAGATCTATTTTCAAAAGGTATAACAAAGACTAATAAACTTTAAACATTATAAAAAGACCAAAACTTTAAAAAAACTAAGTTGTTTTAGAAGTTAGAATGCAGCAACGCGCTTTCGTTGATTGAAACTAATAATATTATGTGAGAAAAATTGACCATTTTTAAATATTAACAAAAAAGAAAAATATCACAAGAATTAAATCCTTTTTAAAATCGGCATATGATGATACGTTTTCATTAATTTTAACAGTGTTATAACTTTGTTTACTATCGAATTAGTCTCCAAATTGTACGAGAAACATCATGAAAATTTAAAGAAAGAATTTCTTGAAAACTGAGATATTTTATGAAGTCGGCAGTAATACACGCTTTTGCTGATTCAAATTAATTAATTAATAACAGTATTGCAAAAATGTTTTTTAGCGAATTTGTTTCCAAATGTCATAAAAAAGATTAATAAATTTTAAACATTATCAAAAAATTAAAATATTTCAGAAATCAAAGTATTTTTGAGGTTAGTAAATAACGAAACATACTCTCATCGACATAATTTAATTAAAGCATTATAAAATAATTTTTTGAGAATAATTCGTTTTTAAAATCGACAGCCAGGTGTGCTTTCGTTGATCTAAACCAGCATTGCAATATTTCATAATTGAATCAATCTCTAAGTAATGTAAAAAAGATTAACAATCTTCAAATAATATCAGAAGATATTTATTCTTTAGAAATATTTTAACACCACATATATCATAGATATAAATATATGTCAAAAATAGGTGTACGAAACTAAAATAAATTTTATAAAATTTACTTACCTCAAAGTAAAGGAGAGAAATATTTTCATTTTAATAATAAAAATTTTTGAATATTGCTAATCATTAAAATTTTATATCTTATAAACATATCAAAATAATAATATAAGGAAAAGGATAATTATTTCTATAATTTCAATAATGTTATTTATTTTATAACTCGCCAATTTTTAAAAAATTCATTATTTAATTAAAAACATGATTAATATCTCCTTTTACAACAAATATTAAAATTTTGTATTCGCTAATATTACAATATATTTAAATTAAAGACAAAAATATAAGTATTATTAGAATTTATTTATTGATTTAATATAGATACAGTTTAGAGAAGTAAGAAAAAAAGGAATCAAATATTTCTTACAACATCGACAACGTCTAAGTCTATACTTTAATATTTACATATTTAATATTTTCTGTTCAATAAAATATCTGAAAAAAAAAACAAAATTCTCATATTAAAATATAACAAGCTATTGTACTGAGGAAATAAAGTTTGCTTATCTTGTTGAATATAGAAATATAATAAAAGATAAAAATTAGCTTTTTACATCATAAGCTATCATAAGTTGTTGAATATTTTCATGTATATACTGAAGAAAATATATGTTACAAATAAAATATATATATCAATTTTGAGATTAAAAATAAGACACAAAATAAAACTAAATAAAAAAAACTATATATATAAAGCTTAATTACAGCATTTAATAAATACATCTACCTTGCTAATTAAAAGGTGTATTACATGTTAGATTTATATACATAAATTTTGCAGTTTATATACATAACATTATGATAGAACCTTGTATCTTGTCTTACTTATATCACTTTCTAAAAATTCGAATTGTTTAGAATGTTACTTGTACACTAGCTATAAATAAATCTTGTGCAATTTAAGTCACTGATAAAAGATCATATAGGTTAAGTATATACTTATTGATTTCTACAGTCACATTAATAGGACGTGAAATATCACAAGCATACGTGAACAACAAAGTGAAAATGATAATTGATAATTATATGTGTATCTTGATGTGTTCCTTCAACATATTTTTGCCATCAAATCTTTCTTCGCATATTTCACAAATAAAATCTTCTCCATCATCACTGTCATGCTGATATTGAACAATAACATGCGATGTTCCTTCCTGCATTAAAGAATCTTCGTCTTCAACATGTTTCTCTTCTTTCAGGACTTGTTGATCCATAACACTCATAGACATGTCTGCGCCACTTATCTGTACGATTTGACTGGAGTAGTTTTCGTGGCCTTGTGGATTTGGAATTGTTAGAACAGGTAGCGATTCGTTCTGTTTCGATATTATATTTAGAGTATTGTTCTGCTTGGGAGACTGGATCAAATGCAATGCGGACATATTATTTTGCCTGACCGTTTCATTGAGTGAATCATCCACTGATTCTGTGGATACTATGTTCGCCGTGTCGTTTTGCTTATTTATAGCAATTATATTGAGAGGATCCCTCTCATTGTGTTCCACTTGAAGTACTTGAATATTCTCCTCTTCTTTGCCATCCACAATGAAACGTATGTTGCTGTGCTTAAGTTCAGAGATTGCTATAAAACCATCGTTACGTTTATCCGTAGTAACTACGACAAACGCATTATTTTGTTTCTCGTTTAGAATATGCATTTCATCTGGTTTATCAGTTGTATCTGTGATAGACAATAAAGCTTCATTTTGCTCCGTCTTCATAAATTGCTCTAAATTCTGTTTCGTTTGTTCGTTCATGTTGCACGATGACAATGACTTTGATGATTTCTTCTTCGTTGGTTTTGACTTTGGAGAGGTGTCGCTGTTAGTTTTCGCCTTTGCTTCAGCTATCATTTGATCCGAATGCTTGACAATATGTGCGCAGAGCTCATCTCGATCCTGATTCAGAGCACCACAAAGAGGACACGGATACGGAGGATTGCTCGCTTCTGTTTCGTTCTTTCCCGCTGCGTGAACCCAGCGAACATGTTCGCGTAAGACCACTTTCTGATTAAAGGCTCTCGAGCATAAGGGACATACATGCGGTCTCTCTCCCGTATGAATTCGCTCGTGTTTTCTCAAAGTTCCACCGTCTCGAAAAGCCTTCCAACAAAACTTGCATCCATACGGACGTTCACCAGTATGCGTTCGATTATGTATCAAATATCCTTGACGAGAAGAAAATGTTTTTGAGCAGGTATCGCACTGAAAATGGGCCGGACTTCCGGCATGCGTTCTACCATGTTCCCAAAGACCTTGCCGTGATACGAAGCTCTTCCCGCATTCCGTGCAAGTAAATGGAGAATCTCCAGGATGTGCCGATAATCTATGCTCATCCAATTCGTTCTGCTTCTCAAATTGCATACCACATACTTCGCACGAATGAGTCTTTTTGCGATGGATCCATTGGTGACGAAACATTTTCTGTTTCGTTGTAAATTTTTTCCCGCATTCTGAACAAGCATGCTTGCCCCATTTGTTGTTAGGCACTCCCTGTTCAATGTTGTTCTGCATTATTTTCTTGGCGCAGGTAGTTTGATGGGTTGCTAAGTGATTACCATCCTGAAATTGTTTGTCGCAGTACTCGCATTCGATCGGCATATTCCAATTTTTCGAAGCATGAATCTTTTCGTGAGACGCCAACGCGGTCGCCCGTGAAAAATTAATTCCACAATGTTTACACGTGTACTGCTTGCTGTTTGTCTCGGCCTCTCCATAATCTCTTCTGTTCGCGTTATTGTACCTGTAAAGTGTTTCGACTTTAACTATTCCATCAGGAGTATTGAAAGAATTTATTGTTATATCGTACTGTTGACTGTTGTTAACCGAATCGCTAATATTATTTTGCTCGGTGTACTCGCTAAATTGTGCTACTTCACCATTGGGCATCACGGTAAATTCTTGCAATGTATCCATCTTGGTATCCTGATGATTTGATATTGTGGTAACTATTGATTGCTCATTATGGAAATTGTATGACGAAACTGGCCACTGAACTTGACATACATCATAGTTTTGTATAGACTGGACAGACGAAGATGACATCTGAGAAGCATTCTGCGAATCAGACGAATTCTCTGGCCACTTCTTGAATGTTTCCACAGACTGAGATACATTGTTACTCTGTGATTGCATGATGGCCCGTCCAGCAACATAGGTGTGTATTTTCATGTGATTAGACAAGCTGGAAGGTCGCTGGAAATCCAAGCCACAAATAGTACACTTGTGCGGTCGTTCAATATGATGCATATGCGTCTGTTGCATATGTGTCTGCAAACTGCTCTTTGAACGGAACAAATTACCGCATGTTCTACAAGAATGAGGACGATCTACTTGATGACAAACCATATGATTATTCAAATCAATCTTTCTCTCAAATCTTTCTCCGCAAGTTGTACAGGATAGCTTAGGCACTGTACATACAGACTGATGGTCAACCATTTCCTCTTGGGTAAAAAGATGCTTACAGACTGGACAGCTGATTTTCTTGTTCTCAAAACAAGGATACATACCACCCAGCTGACGCAGAGCCTCTACAGCCATGGACTCATCATCACCTGATGTATATTGTTGCTGTTCTTCCTGCTTGATATACATTGGATATACCACTTGATTGTCATCTTCCTCTTCCGACTGCTCCGCAAGGATCTCGACGGTATTCTGAGTTTCCACAATGTCATTACTGGCAGTATTACTGATTGTGACTTCTGTCAGATTTTCTTGAAGAACGCATTCGTCGACAGGCTCACATATCTCCTCATGAGATATCATATTCTCCTGTATGGCATCATGCACATCAAGGGGAAATGTCACATACTGCTCACCCTCATGGGTCTCCATTCTTGTTGTTGCTTCGAGCTGAAGCGAAGCGTACAAATAAAATGTATCGCAACGTGCTCGGCGATGCTCGAGGGAACCTAGTTTCACCTCGTTAGACCTTTTAGGTTAAGTTAGGTGCCATCGTATCCGCTCGTCGCGAATTCGCCGTATGTTGCGGCGTTTCTCGTTCTGTCGGACGTCCGTGGACGTCGTGGTGAATTATCAAGCGCGACCTGTCACCTCCGAATAAAATATATCCTCTTTTTCATCCTGCGCGAACATCGGTGCTAATACCATTCTGTAAAAGAAAAGAAAATATGTAGTTTTACATATACTTTACATATAAAGGATAACATTTATAATGATCTGAAGATGCATACGAGCGTAGAGATTTCTGCGAAGGAATCTCGAAGGAATTAGTTAAATCATCCAGGCAACTCATTTAACACTTACATCGACTACGATACTGCGAGGTTATTTGCGGAATAGTGCCCCACATCGAGCACTGTCTGAAGTTGCGCGATGATGACCAGCTCTTTATACTCTCGATACTAAATAAATAAATATTGCTATTATTTGTCAATCGAAATATCTGATTTTTTTTATCTGATTTTAATTCAAAAAGCATATAATAATGAAAAAAATTTTTTTATTATTACTAAATTATTACTTTTTCATTGGTAAATTAAATTTTCTATATAGTTGTTTAAAGAAAATCATGTTTACCCTTTGTGAATCAATATTTAGGAAAAAGTGTTATAAAAGAAAATAAATCTGAGATTTTTTCTTAGTTAGTATTTTCTTTGACATTTCCGCTTTTAAAGTGTATATCTTAAAGTCTTGTAAGGAAAAGGGAGACAAATATATAAGTTGAAAGCGGTTATGCCCGCATTTTAGCTGACTCCGTTCACTGGCGACTTTATGAGCACAAAATACGTATCTTGAACTATGTAATCATTTCCACGAGTATTTCCGATGGATAACATGCTACATGCACGAACTTTGGTTCTCTTCCATGCTATGTTTAATTTTTGCTTCTTGTTAAATTAAATTCCGCGAATATAACAATATAATTTATAATATTATAAATTAATATTATAATAACATTTCAGAGATATCATATGAACATCAATTTTTAATCGCAAAAATGTTCTAACAACCTTTTCATAATATTCCGCGGATTAGTATGGACAGAACTTGGGGGCGCTAGTGGTTTTGACGATCCTACGAAAAAGGTCGGGGTGGCCGTTCTCAGGTTTCTCTCTATAGCGGCAAACTTCATATATATAATATTTATGTGATGACACATGCTTCAAAGGTTATAGGTTATATTCCGGGGAATGATGAATGATAACCGTGCGATTGAAACACATAATTGTATTAATACATATTACAACGATCTTTGACAGATCATTGGAAAACAATCAAATATCCGAGTAATAATAAATACAGTTAATCAGATGCATGTCTGACCTATTGATTCTATCATAATTTGATTGAAGCTCGAAGGTTATCATGAAACGACAGGAAGAAACCTTGGCGGGATGGAATATTGTATGGTGGTTATTTAAATTATTCGGTCTCCCAATTACTATTCCTTGGCTGGTATATCATTTTTATGATATCATGCAGCAAAAACGAAGAAGGTCAGCTCTTAGCAAGAAGGTAATTCTGAATCTTTTATCAGTAACCTAGGTCTTTAAAGTCTACTGTAATTTTTTTGCATTATTCTGAATTGTATAAAAATTTGAAAAATATCTGGTATATTTATGGAGTCTAGATCTTTAAAGTTCACTGTAATTCTTTTGCATTGTTCTGAATTATATAAAAATTTGAAAAAATTCTGGTATATTTATGGAGTTTTTAATTATTAGTTTTTCATAGGAACATTTCATAGAAATTGTTTTAAATATGAATACCAAATTTTGTTATCTATTAATTATTCTAATATTATAATGAATTGACTGTGCTTTCAAATTCTCAGGTTGCCAATAAAAAATTTATGCTATAAAATGCAAACAAATATTTTTTTGAGACTATCTTGATGAATAGAGATTTAAAGATAAATATTTCTATAGATATTTTATAGATATTCTATAGATTTCTATAAATATTTTTATGGTCTTTGACATGATCTAGGTGGTGATGATAACTGGTGCTAGTTCTGGATTAGGAGAAGCTTTGGCACATGTATTCTATAGCTCAGGTTGCAGAATTATCCTTGTATCTCGCAGGAAAGAAGAGTTAGAGAGAGTAAAAAATGATCTGATGGATACTCATCAAGTATGTTATATTTATTTTAAAAGTAAAATTACTTACTTTAATAGACAAATGTATTAAATATTAATTGTTTTATATTTTTTCTTTAGACTGTTCTAACTTATCCACCCATTGTTTTACCATTAGATTTAACTGATATTAATAACTTGAAAAATGAAGTATCAAAAGCTATAATGATACATGGCAGAATTGATATTCTAATTAATAACGCTGGTATTTCATATAGGGGAGAAGTTATTGATACAAACGTCGATGTGGACATAAAAGTAATGCTATCAAATTATTTCTCTCAAGTTGCATTAAGCAAAAGTAAGTGTATCAATTAAGAAATCTAGTGCTACAATAAATTTACTGACAAATGATGCTTTACAGTTGTTCTTCCATACATGATACAGCAACAATCGGGTCATATAATTGGCATAAGTAGTATTCAGGGGAGAATAGCTATTCCATTTAGGCAAGCATTTAATTATGAGTCAGCATATGTTCTTTTTCAAAAATAATCTATTACTGAGTTACAAATTTTCAGATCTGCATATGCAGCATCTAAGCATGCATTACAAGCTTGGTATGATACTGCCAGAGCAGAGCTGGCTGATAAAAACATTAAATTTACAGTCGTCAATCCAGGATATGTCAAAACATCTCTTTCTCTAAATGCCTTAACAGGAACTGGACAAGTTTATGGAGGTATATTTTTATTGGAAGTATTAAATTAATATATTATTCTTATGTGTAATTTAAATGTGTGTCATTTTGTTGTAGTAATGGACAAAACAACTGAAAATGGTTATGAACCAAAATATGTAGCCAAATGTATTTTAAAATCTGTATTGAAGCAAGAGAAAGAAATTATTATTGCACCATTTTCTCCAAAGTGTGCTATAATACTTAGAACTTTATTACCTTCACTCTTTTTCTGGATTATGCAAAAGCGTGCAAAAAAATTAGCACATAATAAATAATTTTATTTTAATTGTAAATATCACTATTTAATTAAAGACAAGGTTTTTATATATTGGTTGTGGATTTATGTTTTTATATAGAGAATTATTTAAAAATGTAATTACATAATTATATAATATGAAAAAGTAATATAAACAAAGGATAATATGTAATTAATTTCTGAGTTACTGCATTCTAGGATAACAAATAAAATACATTATTCAAAAGTATATTTTTTATTTGTATTGTAGCCACTTTCTGACTAGTGGAGTATCTTTACATTATGTACATTTTTTTATTATGAAATTTTAATTAAAACTGACACTGAAATATTTAGATGTCGAATGTGCTATCCATCTCTCGATGTAAGGCTCACAAAATTAAGTTCCACTTTTTCAAATTTTAAGTGGTAGAGATCTATTACATATAGTCATTTAATTATTTGTTGCATATATCATTTTTAAGATATTAAAATATTATATTTTAAAGACAAAATATAGCATATATATTGTTAAATGTTATTTATAATAAAAATATACAGTTTATTCTTATAAGAGTAATAGATAGCACATCTATTTATGATACTATTCAGTATGTTATTAAAATTATTTTAACATTTCATTTAATTTTTTCTACTTAAGTGATATGAATTTACTTAAAATATAATAATTTTAATAAGACTTGAAAAAATGTCTACAGTAATAAAATCTGACTGTAATGATAAATTTAACCATTCCAATTTGTAAACTCACATATATATTGATCACATTTTCATGGTTTTTATGGTTTTTATGGTTTTCGTAATTATATTACTTCTATTCTTTACCTTAATCTAACGGAATAGATTATGTAAAGAAATATAATAAAAATTCATATTGTATTAAAAAATGTAATTAAATGTAATATTAAACGTAGAAAGCGATTATGTACTTGCGATAATCACTGTAATAATATTTCTATAATCACTGTATAATCGATTCTGGTATGCAATTGTATTGTACACATAAATGTAAAATGCAACTACAATACTTGATGCATATTGAGAAAAGTTTAACATGTTTCAAACAAAAATTGCGTTTAATGCTGTAACAATAGTTCGCTTGTTCTGTGCAACGAACTTTTTTTATAGTATCGTAATTCGTTAATCTATTTGAAAAAACAAGTCTTTGATAAAAATACATTTAATGAGTTCTTGCGCTTCATGTATAAAATAGAATTGTTTAGAATAAATCCAATGTATGGATTTCCAGATATTCTTACAATCTTCGTTTCTTAAATTTTGTGCTATACTTGATATATAACGATATAACGATGATATTTTTAAGTATAGTAAAGTATATTTGTTATCATTCTAAAGTTTGATAGATAATTTCTATAGTAATGTCTCAGAATTACTGTACATTGTTCACTTTTCTTTTGAGCTCGTGTATCGATGTACATACAAACAAGGGAACGATTTATGCGACAAATTTTACGATGAAAATTTATATATCATAATATATAGGAGTTAAATTTTTATCATTAAACATTTGCAGGAATGTTTGCGATGTTGACTTTCGTTTGATAGGATTGATGCAAATGACAAAGTTTTGTACGCATATTTATGATAAAAAAAGTATCTTACTCTATATTTACGATTAATAAAATAAAATCTAAAATTACATTGAATTTTTACGGTCAATATATCTTTTTGATGTTAAACTAGTTCAATATAGATTGTTCCGTTGGGTGAGAAAATCTAGGCAATATACCCCTTGACATATTATACGTATTGTATTCTCTCTACCTATTTTATTTACAGTCTAAAAATACATAATGCTAAATCCATATGTACCATTGTAAATTTAATCATTCTAAGAACACTTATGTCAATATATATATTTGTTTCTTCATTATAAAGACTGCATGTATGGTCTTTCCCCTTTCGTATTAGCTTTGAAAATTTTGCCAAGATGAAGATCAAGAAATAATAATATAAGACCTCGAGGAAATTACATGCCAATGTAAATATTCGGACAAAATCTGGCTTTTTATGTGTGTTTATGTGGTTTACTTAGATCACATAAGCAGCATTCACCTGTGAGATAGTATTAACAGTGTTTTAAGTCAATTGTTGAAATGAGAGAATACTTTGTGTTATAATATACCATGGCATAAGAATAAACAAATTTATATTTCCTTTGATTAAAAAATTCTATAGGTTTACTATTATAAAAATTAATATCATATAGCCTACCTTATTGGTTCACCCTGGCTTAAATCAAGACCAATGCTAATAGCATTTTTTTCACTTAAACGCCTGATATACTCTCCAGGTGGTAATGCTAAGGGCTGCCAATGTAATAGTTGTATGGAGAATTCGTCTCCTCTTATCATCTTTCCTTACAAGAAATGTTGGAGACGATGGACCTAAAACAGCTAATAGCTCAACGTGTGGTAATTTGCTGGTATCAGTCTCTACTTGATACTGACAACAAGGATCAAATTGCCAAGAGACTGTATACAGTCCGCAGGTTATGACTGATGTGAAACCTAGTGGACCACAGATATATGGTCGATCGCCCCAAACTAGGCCTAAAAAAGTCAAGTACTTACAACCAACTAATACAATTTGGTGCCAATGAATTGATATTTTATATATAACTTATTAAGATAAATATATCTAATTATACATGCGTATGAAAAATTTATATAATGCATATAAATTAAACAAACCTGTGACGATTGCAGCAAGACCTGACAATGCAGCAGTCTTGTGAAGACAATTTCCTACTGCTATCCATCTGGAGGTTTCATCACCTAATTTCGACGGTTCGATAACAATTAAACTGCATTCCGATTCTAACGCTCTTTCTAACTCATATTCAAATGTCTCGTGAGCATTCTCACTGTCATAGACTTCCCTGATAATGGCAACGGTAGAGGACTCATCTCTATAAAAAAAAAAAAAATGTGCAAACACTAATATTTCTGTAATATAACGTTATATAAAATTCAGCGTTATACTTTGCAAAATTTATATAATTCGCGTCAACATGCCAAGGTTATATCTATGCAAAACTCTTTTAATGTAATAGAAGAAGTTGACTTCTTCTTGTATAATAAAAATTAATTCTACACATAACTGAATAATATCTTATTTAATTCTATAATCATCGTATTGTTAAGTGTCCCATAATAGACAACATTAGAAATCACGAGTCTTTTCAAGCTTTCTTTCTTTTGTGTTATGTAAGACATTGATTACAGTCAACCAACGCGAGATTTGTTTTGGTCGCGTACCTACGATTCTCTTCCCAGGATTAACGCTAAAAAGCGTACTTTCGTGCGGCCCCGTGATTTAACAGGGATTAAATATCACCATAATGAGAAGAGATGCGTTACGTCTATACGTTAAATACACGGGGAAAGAACGATAGTGAAAGTGACAGAAGCCGACGCGAGCCGTTGTAACGAGGTGCGACGAATCGGAATCGCGACTAAAAATTTCCTCTCCATCACGCCAAATCGCCTCGGTCGCCGTCGCGAGATCATGAATTTAACGTTCCCCGATATTCGGGATTCAGACGAAGCCGGAAACTCGTCCCGGAGGGATTGATTCGCCATGCCGTCCGAGCGACGTCGGAGCAGATTTTGAGGTTAATTCCATTGCAATGGCGACGGCGACCCGCGTCGAGATGCGTCGCGGTGACGTTTTCCTCGCGCGAGAACCGTCGGATGCCGCGCACGGCACGGAGGACGTTTCCGTCTACGAACCTGTCACCAGCCTCATCTACCATCTTCACCGTCGATCCCGCAGATACTGAAACGGCGGTCTGCATCGGACCGGAAGAAAAAGCATGACTCGCCGAACCGGACGCAAAAATCAGCTGATGAAGAGCGCCGCGGCCGGGCGTGCGCGCGCGCGCGCGCACGCACGCGTGCTCGCTCGAGCGCGTTACTCGCGTGACTCGAGTAGTTCTGACGACTTTGAATTTTCGGATCAACGCGGCGGTGGCTCCTTAACTTTTTCCGTTCTTCGTTTCCGGTTTCAAACGGATTGCGAGAGGGATAAGATACGATTCGTTTCTCTGATTTCTCACATCAAATCGCATCACGGAAGCTACAAACCAGCGATGGAAATATATCTAATTTGATTAACTGATTGTTAATTTGTAATATTTTCATTATTGTGAAATCGAAATTTTAATGAAAGATTAGTCGCCATTATGAGCGATTATGCATTTTGTGCTTTTATTGCATAAATATTTTCATGCACAAATTGCTTTAGATGCATGGATTCTTTGTTATCGAATCTTTGTTATCACTCATTTAAATACCATTGGATTCATGCGAATATATATATATCAGCATTAATTAAAGTACGAAATCAATAAAAAGATATTTCATTATTCGGATAATACTGATAACATCGATTGAACATGAAAACAACTTGTGAGAACTTGTGAGTATTTGTGAAAAAAATAAACGCAATTGATAAATAAATGCTTGATAAATAAATACAATTTACATGTAGTATTGGATAATATATGAATATATATTGAGATGAATATATATATCACATCTCATTTAAAATACATAATTTTTAATTCGCATTATTTTAACAAAATAATATTTTAATCGCGCCTACTTTTTCTAATTTAAATTAATTTGGTTCAGTTTTAAATTCGTTGCCAATTAAATAAAAAAACTATTATTATATTTTCTATATAAAAACGTACCAAAAAGAAGTATCGATTTACGAATGAAATTATCGATTATTATATCGATTATATTAATATTATCATTATTATTATAAGAATTGATCGACTAGTCGCGCCACTATTAGGCATAATACTATGTTTCATTTGTTTACGCCATATTTGAATTTTTCAGCGAACGGACGGAGTGGATTATCGATCGCGTGGATCCGTTTACTTAATCGTCAGTTTTCGCAGATTCACGCGAGCGATCTCATCGAAGAAGCATGTAAGTCCATTTCCTCCTGCATTTATCTTTTCGCGTTTAAAGTCGAACAGATATTTACGGAATTTCAGAGAGAAGAAAGAAAAAAACGAAGACTATGCGCGAAAAGTACGAACGAGACGAACGGATACTTTACGATACATGACCAATCCATTTGTTTCATTCGTATTTTTTGCGCATTTCGCGTTTCGTAGCGTATTATGAGGAAAACGCGCACATCTAGATGTGGAAGGGAAGAAGAGACGGTTGATCGTTGGAATGAAAAAAGGAAAACAAAGATGATTTTCTGTTTATTTTATGTTTCCAGGAAAGCGAGAGGCGTCTCGTGCGAATCCCGAGTAGACGCGTCGATACGTTCGCGGAAGTTCGGGCGATTACGCCGTGGTGGCGCGCGGCGTGGGACTATATTCGCGATCGCGGCGCGTAGGGACGCGGCGCGCAGGGCGTTCCACGGTCGGCCGGGCTGAGAGTCGGGAGTAGAGCGCGCAGATAGAATTAAACGGAGCGAGATCGCAGATGGACGTCCGCGCGAGCGTACTGTCACGGGCAGCGCGACGCGCCGTGCCGTCGTCGTCGTTATAATTTTGCCCGTCGACGAGTGCCTTATCCTGTCGCATATCATATCGTATCGCGTGTGTCATCGACTCGTCGGGGGGGCTCGCGCGCGCGCGCGACCGTGCGTTTCTACTCCGAGATTAGGATTGTGCGAATTCTCTCACGTTGACACGTTCGTCCGGGGGGTGCGAACAAATGAATATGTGGACGCGCGCATGAACGAACATAGAACTGTTGGCTGTCATCTGGTGACATTGTATCAAATATAATTGAATTATTGTGAGGTATTATCCCCCCTCCTCTCTGCCGTGACTAATCGCGGATGCCGGTATTTCGAGCGCTCTGAAGCGTGCTGCGAGATCGTCGTTCGCAGTTCTGCGTGAACATCGCGCACGTGCGCCTGTCTCGCGTCTGCGCGCGGTGAGTGACATGTTTTCGAATTTCCGACGGCGATCGGTGGCAGTTGACTTGCGTGACAATCGGTGGCGAGAGCGGATTCGGAGTGACGGCGTAAATCCACGTGCTCCACGGGAGTGTCGTACAACAGAGCGGAGCAGGAGCGGGAGCGGGAGCGGGAGCAGGAGCGGGAGCATAGGTGAGGGGCGGAGAGGCGAGGTCGTGGCCGCCGCTGTCGCCGCCGCCACTGCCGCGTCGATCGAACGGTGGGATACGTACGAGAGGTGCGCGCGAGTAAGTGTGTGAGTTACGCGTCGAGTGGGGGCGAGGCGAGTGTTTCGACCGGATAACACTGACAGTCGACGAGAAGTCAGGGTGTTGTACGCGCGGGTGTACATATACGCGGCTGCGCTGCGCTCGGCTCGCGGTGTCCCGTGCAAATCACGAGAGGCGTGATCGTGTAAATACACGCAACGCGACGCGAGTCAACGACTTTCGTGGATCGAGATCGACGAAAACTGCATCGTTCGCGAGTGCGAGATCCATCTCGTATTTTTTGCGCATTCTTCCGACAGCGGAATATCCGAACGCGAGCGTGGACATTTCGGCGAGAACGGTGGATTTAGCTTAGAACGAGGAGGAATCTCACGAGTGCGACAGGTGAATCCTCGTGATCCGACGCGGGTGACATTCTCGCCGAGAACAGCTGGCGGCGAATCTCTCTGTCTCTCTTTCTCGGGAAACATCACCGGCACGTTCATCGACGCGTCAACGACCTCGGCCTCGTCCGCGATCCCGTAAAGGAGCTTCCGTCGAGTGGTGCGCGCGTTATCGTTGTGCGAGATTGCCTGGCGTTTCGCGTATTGAAGCAGAGGTGCCCCGGCACTTCGTCTCCGAAGGACCGCGTATTGTGTTTATGTGTGTGTGACCTTAGACGTGAAAAGTGACACTTGGCGCGAGTAAAGCGGGAGTAAACAGTTCCTGGAAGTTAGCGGTTCCCGACGACGCACTCTCGTCGCGAGGAAACGGAACCGGTGCCGGCGCGCGCGAGAGCAACGGAAGCGGGAGAGAAACCGGAGGTGGATCAGCGCGGCGAGGGCGAGAAAGGAAGAAGGGCGATGCTGTGTCTCGGCTGCTGCAATCGCGGTTAATTCGCACGTGTCGCGATGTCGGGTGGCACGGCGGGCGGCGTCCGCGGCACCGGCGCCGAGTGCAGGAAGTTCGCGCCGAACATATTCAACAAGAGCAAGTGCAGCAGCTGCTTCAAGCAGAAGGAGGAGCACAGCGCGGAGGCTCTGGAATGCAACAGGGTGAGTTTTGCTTGATGGAGGATCCTTTCATCTCCGTTCCTCCATGACCCTCTTTCTCACTCTTTTCGGCTCCTCCTCTTTCGCTACCGCGCTCCTGCCTTTTCCCCGTCTCTCTTTCTCTCTTTCTCATTTTTTCTCTTGCTTACATAATTATGTATATATATATGATTATAATCATCAAATGTTAACTCAAAAGATTTGTCGCATTTGACGAACAAACAGTTGAGGATAAATTTGTGCAATTTGAGAAGGAACGCTTGTTATTTCAAATAGCCGTCATTAGCTTCAAAATTTTTCGTAATCTTCTTTCGAATATTCCGATTCGCTTTAAAACAGAATTTAATGAACACACAAAAATCTCGGAAATTTTTGCACTTAAAAATTCATTTTTTCACTGAGCATAGTTCGAGATTCTTTCTTTGCCGAGATTTATCTCGTGTTATTATGATTAATTGCGTACAAGTGACATGAGACATTAATCTTAAATTAATAAATGTATACATCTTCTTTATGTAATATATTATTGTTTGCTCTGCTATACTCTTCAGTCCGGAGCATTTGTGCTCTAAGATACAATAAGTGCTTCTCTGTTTCTCTTCTTGTCTCTCTTCCGATGTGATCTTCGTTTCTTTCCTTCTCCCGCAATGGAGCGCTTGAGTCGTCTTTCCTCGTCACTCACCCTCGAATTCCTTCTCGGGCGGAGAGAAGGAACGCAGGTCCTATCGCTGTCAGGACGTCGATGTTATGTAAGATGCGTCGTGACCGTTGTTCGCAAATCGCTTCGTGAACGCGACGCACGTTTCGTTTACTTGTCCTTCAAAGCGACATCCGATTTTCCTACTCGTTTGCACCACGGTAGTTGCGGTTCATTAACTTTACCTAGCCATCGCGCCGCGCCTTTCTAGAGATTCATGCAACAAGAATGATGAGTTTTGAATTATTCGATCGAAGTTATAGTGCCGCGAGCTCACGTTTAAATTATTATGCAATTTACGTATTGTGTATAAAATCCGAAACAAATAAACGTTTGGAATTTTCGTAAACTGAAAATAAATACAATAGGATATAGATTTCAGACGGGTCATGACAATTGCGAAATTTCACGTGAACGTAGCGTAACGTATACACGATGCAGATTACCGTTTGACGATTACGTCGAGAATCATGCTACTACACAGTTGCTTGCCGCATCGTCTTTTTTTCACAGCAATTTAATATTTAGACCGCTTTCGATCTCTCGTGTTGCTTAAGTTCACGTTTTTTATGACGGTTAATCATACGCATATAACGAGCGACAATTACGCGGCAATTTAAGGGCACGTCTTAAGTAAGCGTATTATAAAATCTGGCGTGTTAAAAGAAATTGCACAAGAGCAAAAGAAAATTCTGGGACCGGCTTAATCATAGCATATGAATTTAATCCATTAGTAATTTCTTTAATCCTATCGTATGAACAATGCTGTTATTGAATCAAGTATAATTCCGAAGTTTAAGAGCATAGATATCCAAAATTAATTCTTATATTATCGCATATTATTATTAATTATTACGTTTATCTCTAAAAATTATTTTCATGTAATTCTAACATCGAAATTCGAAAAATCATATTATTTTTAAAGTCAATTTTTATATATTTAAAATCTTTTAACATATATTTTTTTTAGTATTTATTATTTATAAATAAAGATGGATTGAATATAAAATGAATATAAAAGATAGAGATTTTATATACGACACTATAAAAAGAAATTTTTTGAAGTGTTGACTTTCGTGTAGAAATTTAATTTGATTGATAAAAATGATATAGAATACAAATTAAACTCTAATACAAGTAATAAAATCTAATAAAATATATTAAAGATATATATTAAATAAAAGGATTTATACTACAATTACTAGTACTGTATATTGTACACTATAATTAGAAACAAAAATATATCAAAATATGTAAGAAATATTTAAATATCTGATTTAACTCTAGAATAAGAATATTTAAAGGACTGTTTTGTTTTTTGATTTGAAAGTACGTATATCGCTGCATCACGATCGAGAATACAAATATGGCTTCCGGTGCGAGGGTACATCAACGAGAAGGGGTCTTTCTGCTTTTTTTGTCTCGTATAATTTTTATTTACGATACAGTGTTCAGCGATCACAGCGAACGAGCCCATGAAAATCATGGGAGAGAGATATATTAAAGGATAGAAAGAGAAACGGAAAAAAAGAGAAACTGAGACAGGAACGGAAACATCATAGGAACATTAAAAATCAATTCGTACTGTACGATGTTGAGGGTAGAGGGAGAACGCGATAGCGGAATTGTTGTCACTTCGTTAATGCGTATTTTTTCTGAACGTGAAATCGCTTTTTTATACCCAGTCGTTATTTTACCGTTCGTTTTAATGATTCATTAATTGTTGAAGTTAATTGTGCTATCTTTTAACTAAAATTATAATAATGCAAGGAATTGCCATTTGCACGAAATTATATTTTTTGATATGTGATTGGAAAAAAGCGTGCTTTATTTATTTTTCCTAATAAAAATAGTAAAAATTTAGAGCAAGTATTCGAAAATTTCTGAATATCAGAGAAGTGAAAGAGAAAGAATTGAAGCAGGCAAGGTTTCAAGTTTTTTATAATACATTTATCAATGTTCGAACTTTTTTATCATGTGTAAATTTCATGTTGACGCTCTTGCAATATGCCTGAATTAAATAAATACTATTTCTATTTATTTCATTTTTATTATGTTAATAATTATTAATGACTTTAAAACAAGATTGAAGAATAACATATTAAGAAAGGAAATTTTTTCGCTCACATTTTTCGATACTGATATTTTCTTGTTTGATTGCAAAAATTGCATAATTTTTGTAATATGTAGGATTAAATCGAAGGTTTCGTTATCGTGTTAAGTCTAGTCTAATCTCAAGATGGATTTTATCATTTCGCATATTTCGGGATAAAATTGGCGGATTAAATTTGTTCGCGTGCGCGTTCAGTGTTCGTCGATGCGCGGTTTATTTCGGCGGGCCTTGCGCCGTTGCAAAATTTCGGAATGTCGGCAGCCTTGCGACCTGTTCCCAGTGCATTCCAGCCATCTCTTCCTCCAGCATCCCCTACGAGGGAAGAGGCCCTCTCCGAGAGTTGTTGGCCTGTCGGCTTTCGCATGGATGCGGTATCTCTGTATCGGTTTATTCTCCCCATCTTGCTTCCCCCTTTCCTACACGAGCTGTCTCTCTCTCTCTCTCTCTCTCTCTCTCTCCGTCTCTCCCGCATGATCGCAAATAACGTATGCATACGCGACGCAATATTTCTTTACCCGTTAGCCGTAGCATGATCCTCCCGGTAAGTTCACGTTTCGGTAATCGCGATAGATGGAGAGAAGAAAAGAAAGAAATCGAATTAATTCATTGATCAGACGAAAGTATAATACTGTTTTATTTGGTATGTGAATACTTGTCAAATTATGTAAATCGCTCCGTGAGATTTCGTATCTCAGCGGGTAAGAAGGGAAAAGAGTTGATTTTTTATTTGTCTTCGCAAGGAGATATTTCCAGAGCCGCACATATCTCATTTGTGTATCGTAAGATCTAATTTCAGCGAGCAATGCGAGAATATACAATCGTACCACACGATAGAAATACGATTAACAAAAGAAATCGGTCTTATTACACGCGTATGTACGTTCTTGTTCTTGACTAAAGAGACCCTTGGGCCATGCTCGCTCGTGACCGGCCATTATCGGCGTGCAACTTGGTATTTTCAGAGTCCGATTACTTCTTCGTGAGCGCCTTCGTAAGTGCCTTCGAGAAATAATTTCCTGGGGTGAGAGAGCTCGAGACGCGGTTGGGACGTACCTTAAATTTTGATCCGGTGAAACGATTCCGAGACGTCTTACGGTACCTCCTGGCTTCCTCCTGGCTTTTTCGAATATCTTCTCTTGCTATCAAATTTCTGATACCTCGCGAATAATCTTTTTTCATTCACATCTTTAACTTAATGGCTCGATATCTCGGATTAATTATAATCTGAAAATGTTTTATTACTTGCTCTCAGTTTTAGAAGGAAATCTTTTAAAATTGTTGAAATCCGATGGATCTATTAACTTTTTTAATAACGTTGTATTGAGTAAAGTTAATACAGCTGGATTAATCGTCGTCATTTTGTACGATCTTTGAACTTTATACTTGAAAAATTATGCATTTATATAACATGCAGCAACTTTGTTTTCCAATTTAGTGACGCGAGCATTTCGTGATTCGATGGGCGCCCGATAGTTAATTAACAGCGGTTACGATCGAAAAGAAATTCCGGATTCTCCGATTTGATTGATGGCAATTAACGTGCGCTATTATACAACCGACATTGGTAACTTTTTTTGTTCTTCCCTTTATCTCTTCTTTCTTGCTCCGTCTCGTTGATCTCGCCGCGGTGGTACAGCGATATCTCTCGGCTGAGGAATCGATGCGGATTTAATAGCTTAAAATAGAATTTCACCTTCTAATGAAATCGGACGGCTGGTTGCTTTTAGCGATTAGCGTGCGGAGATAACTCCTACGCTGGAGTCACGTGAAATGGAAAAACCATTAATTATCGTCAATCGAATCACGAACATTATTGCCGCACACACGTTCGCAGTACATTTTTTTTTACTTCACTGCGCTATTGTATACCGTGAAAAAAATTGTTAAAGGAGCTAAATATTATATTCATCAATTATGGAAATGTGAAGTGAAACTTTTGATACGTTAGAAAGATAAGAACGAAATGCGTATTTATTTTAAACGAGGTATGAATATATACTCTATATATACTACTACGTTGCATCGTAGCGGAATGTTTCTCATTAACATCTTTTTACGTTGTTTATTGCACAATTTTATTATGAAAACTTCTTCTTCGTAAACAAGTAAAGAAGGTCACGCGAATTAACATTCCAGTAGTGGCCGAGCTAGTTCTCGGTTTATTGTTCGTATATATTTTTACGATAACGCGCT